CTTTCTTATGGCATGGCTGTTTATTCCTCTTCCCACTCATCTGAGTCCCTTGTAGTCTGCTTCTCGCTTTGTTCTTTGTTATGTAAATGATTTTTACAATTAATTAAACAATGTATTCATTTGTTATGTGTATCTGTGTTCACAATGTGTTGATACTTGGGCATATCAACGAATTATTTTACATTTTTTACTTTCTGCCTGAGGTGTACAAAAAGAAATTCAGATTCCTTCAAAATTATCCCAAATAACAGATTGGTTTTAATTCTGGCAGGTACTGTTTAGAGACTGAGGTATTTGGGCACTTTTCAAAGATGTCCAATGTCATATCTCAGCAGGCTGCACACTCGGTATAGGATGCCCATTGTGATATCTCAGCAGTCTGCATACGCTGCCTGTGGATTGATGAAAGGAGTTCTCTGCTAGTGGCTCAGAGTTCCACTGAATGCCTGCAGGTTCTGCTCTCAGATGAGCAGGTGTTGGACTAGCCTGGACCAGTCTGCTGCCATATGGAATATGGTCCTCGCCAGAACAGAGACCAGCTCTTGACTTCACAGTCAGCTTTTCTAAGAACATGCCTTTAAAGAGGGCCTTTGTGTAGAGTTGCTGGGGACTGCTTCAAGAATAACAAGAGCCCAGACTGCAGAAATAGCAAAGTGCTTTGTCACCCGAGCCACAGCTCAGGTCCTCTCCCTCCCACTAGTAGTCTGCTCATGTAAAGGTGAGTGGGAAACCTAATCCCAGTTACTTTACAAAGAGGCCACTTTCTAAAACCCTTCACTCTGCTGGTGGTTTGCCGTGCTAGTCTCTTTCAATAGGGGCATGTAGTAACATTTAATTTTCTTTGGCTTTTCATTGGCTGTTGAAGTGAAGTCCCATGATAGGGTTTTTACACTTGGTGTTTGTAGGCTGCCCCTACCTCTTCTGAGACTGCCCTTTCCTAGACATATGCCATTTCAATGCCACCTTTCTGAATTAGTCCTTCTGGGTGGGAAGAGGAGATCATAGGGCACTGGGTAGTGGTAACAGAATATTATGTCATATGGCAGGTGCTGCTGTGTGACCTTTGTTATTAAGTTCACAGAACAACCTGGTGAAGTATGGCCATTAATGTGTTTTCCTAAATGATATCAAATGTGCTCTGCAAAGTTAGCTGTCAGAAAACAATGTTATGTTTGAGGCTGTATGAAGACTATCTTGTTGTGGCGGTTACTTCATTTTTAACAGAGTGGTTGAAGCAATTTGTGCCAGTGTTATATAAATGTATGCCTGTGTAATGGGGCTACCATTATTCAGGCATTTTAATTTCATAAATGTGGAAGTTGAGATGTGGAATGTTAGACAGTTTCCCCAAGGTCATAGAGTCTAAGGGACAGATCCTTTCAAATACCACTTTATTCACACATCGCTGTTGCTCCTGCTGAAATTATTTCTTTTGCTTTGAAAAGGCTTCAATCTGGGGAGAGTCTGATCTTTTCTTTCTTCTCATGATTAGAAGCAGACATCAGAAAATGACCAACAAGCTAGGAGAGATGGCCGGTGGTTAAGAGTGCTGGCTGCTTTTCTAGAGGAAAAGTTTTGTTTCTAGCACCTATGTCAGGTGGCTCAGTCACTCTAGCTTCAGGGAATCTACCATCCTCTTTAAACAGGTTCCAGGGATTGAACTGGGATCCCTGTATTTGCAAGGCAAGAACTTTATTGACTGAGTCATCCTTCTGGCTCTAGTTCCATCACAGTTATGTCAATATGAGCAGGTGGATATTTTTGTGTGTGTGTACTTTAGGTTATGTGAAAGTATTACCGTATGCAGCTGTTCTCAACTGGGAAGTCTTGCAATTGACTCTTGGGTCCTTTTGACATATCCCTCATCTATTTTGGGGTAGGGTACTATACTATCTTCCAGGCTCATCCTGTATTTTCCTTTCATATCCTTGGTGTCAGTCATCTCTTTGGATATCCCTGGTTAATTTTACCAAAGAAAAACATCAGTAACTAGGATCTAGTTGTGCTCATTGCCACTGAAATGTCACAGTTTTTTGTATCACCCCAGGGGACGGAGCTGAAATACATCAGGTGACCTATTTCACACACATAGTCATTGTTATTTCTGAACTTCTCTGTCTGTTTATAGAAAAGCTCCTTTTTTAACAGTCTATATTTTACTGAGTAGGTAACAGTATGAATATGACTTGCTGCCTTCTGCTGTTTGTAGTAAAGTAAATGGAGTAATGTGGCTTCCTGCTCTGCTGACCTCTAGTCCAGTAGTTCCCAACCTTCCTAATGCTGTGACTCTTTAATACACTTCATCATGTTCTGCTGAACCCCAACCACTAAATTTTTGTTGCTATTTCATAACTGTAATTTTGCTACTGTGGTGAATCATAATGTAGAGGTTTGCCAAAAGGGTCATGACCCATAAGTTGAGAATCACTGCTCTAGTCAGATCATATCATTTAGACTTGAAGAGATACTACAATGTTAAGGAACTACATAATGAAACAGTCAGAATTGCAATTAGGTTTTCAAAATGGGATATTTTTATTTTCCCATAATTCTCACATCCTTGTATCTGCCCATTCTGCTTGACTTTGTATTGAAGACAACTATTGACTTCTTGGGATGCTCAAAGCATATATTGAATGTAATTTTGCTGGTGTGAATAATAAAAGATGTGCTTGTGTCTCTAATGAAGAATTTTTCTCACTAGCATATATCATAGGCCAGAGATTTGAAAATGCAGATGCTATCAAGTACATTTTACAAGGTTGTCTCCTGCCCTGGCTCACTCTTTAGACTCATCTTTTAAAAGGCTTTCTTCGCCGGGCGTTGGTGGCGCACGCCTTTAATCCCAGCACTCGGGAGGCAGAGGCAGGCGGATCTCTGTGAGTTTGAGGCCAGGCTGGACCGACAGCCTCCAAAACAGAGAAATCCTGTCTCGTAAAACCAAAAAAAAAAAAAGGCTTTCTTCTCTGAGGGTATAGGGCTTTGGAGGGTAGGCACATCATGTATCCCCTTGACTGTTAAGAAATGGGATGGGAGGCAATGCAGGAATCTGCTTGTTATCATCCGAGAGGCTGGCAATGGAATAGGAAGCAAAGAGGCAAGCTGCAGCCTCTGTAACCCTCCCTGTGCAGGCCAACCAGATGGCTCCTCTCTTTAAATGACTCTTGGCACCTGGTGTAGCAGGGAACCCTTGAGGGGCTCCACCCTGAGCTGTACAACAGCTGTAGGGTTCCTCTAAACTTTTCTGTTCCTGGTACTTTGAGGAGTGAATATGCTTTTACTTGGTAAACCTCATCTTGTTACCATGTATATCTGTCCTTTCCATTCTTATCTTTTCCAATCCAAAGACTTAGCACTTTATTTTTGTGTAAGATGCCATAAACATACAATTATATTAGAAATACATGGTAAAGGCTCCTTGTATGTATAAAATAGAATTCTGAGTCTTATTTTGATGTGATCCATCTGAAATTGAGTGAAAGTGGCTAGAAAAGCTCTTTTGGTCTGGCCCTCTCCTTGACTGGAAGTGGCTAGAAGAGCTCTTTTGGGTGGCTCTCTTCCTGCAGTAGCCTTCAGCTGTTTGCATCTTTGCGTTTAAAGAAAGCATCTCTGCAGGGTTGTTCTGTCCCCGTGTCCTCTTGCTATGGCTTCTCCCATGTAAAGAGTGAGAAGGCCTGAAGTCCCATCTCCCTTTCCTGCCCCTTTTCCTCTGTAGTACTGACGACCATCTACTGCACCACAGCTTTTACTTTCTCAGTTTTTCAATGGTCTTTCCCCCTTTGCCATAAACCATGAGAGTAGAGAATGTGTCTGCCCCGTTTCTCAGGCCTAGAATAATGCAACATAGTAGGTGTTCAGGGAACACTTATGAATGAATGATGGAAATTCCACGTTCTGATAACTTCACCTTTAATTTGAATATGAAAACTAGTATCTATTTATCCAAAACGTCAAGATATATGCTGAAGATGTGTGTATTCCTTGACATAATAACTCCAGTGATACAGTGTTCTAGTCACCTGTAAATAGTTGGTATAAGAACTAAGACCATTATTTTAATTTGAGGTGGTAAACTGGAGAGATTGCTCAGTGGTTAGAGCACTGCCACTCTTCTAGAGGACCTAGGTTTGATTCCCATCACTCACATGGAAGCTAATAACCATCTGACACTCCAGTCCCTGGGGCGGAGTCAAGCGCCCTCTCTGGCCCCTGTGGGCACAGCATGCACAAGGTGCATACACATGTAGCACCATACAGTATAAAGACAGTTTGAGATGAATTACCTTCAAAAGAAATCTTGGACCCATTCTCAGTTTGAACCATTATTCTGTTTGTCAGAGTTTGCAGGAAATGGTCTTTGGTTGCTATAAGTATTCTGATCAATGTTTGCCAACATAGAACAAAGCAAAAAGGATATCCTGTAAGACAGTGATTCTTTTAAAGGAGTATTAGCACTCATTTGAATATGTAAATTCTAAGGAGTGTTAGCATTCATTTGAATATATAGATTCTGCTAAAGGAGCGTCAGCATTCATTTGAATAGATAATCTGCCAGGTTTGTTTTTCAAATTGTATTACTTTACATTTTTGTTTAAAATTTCAAGTTTTCAAAGTGTTTACATTTTCTTATAGAGCTGGGGAATCAAACTTGGGGCCTTGTGTGTGTGCTAGGTAAGCATTCTGCCACTGAGCTACATCCCCTGCCTGTTGAACCACTTACATTTTGTTTTCTAAAAAGTCGCCATCTTATTTGCTCAAGCCCCAGTAAGATCATTGTCAAGGGCCTGCAACTTCACTTGCCAATTAGGTTTTCAATTAGGTTTTCCTATGCCAGACTTCTGGCAGTGTTCTAGTCAGGATTAATAAACACAGATTTGGAAGGCAGTGTGGTCAATGAGTGCCGTAAAGATTTTGCAAGTACCTTCTTTGAACTAGTGTGGAACCCAAGTTATGTCTTTGTGGAAGGCTGACATATCTTCTTGTCCTTGCTCCTGTTTCAGAGCCTTGGGGATTCAACCATAGCAGTTGTGCTAAATCAGCTGCTACCTATGATTAAGTCCCCAAGCCAGAGAACCAGTGATGACTACAGTCCTGAGGAACTGCTCACCCTCCTCATATACATTTACTCTGTCGCTGGAGAGTTCACACTGGACAAAGACCTGAGAGAAGCTGAAGACAGGGTGAAGAAAGCATTGGCCCATGTCCTATCGGAGGAGTTGGAGTTGTCCCCTTTGCTACAGAAAATCACAGGTGAGTGTGGAGTACAGTACAGAACCCAAATCCTGAGACCACAGAAGCCAGGGTTCTGAGGAAAGACTGGAACAGGAGGAGGGGACCATGTCTAGCCACCTGCAGGGTCAGGCTGTCTTTCCATGGTTTTCCTTTTCTAGTAGTGGTAGTGGAATGGTCTGCTAAGAGCTTATCAGAATTCATGTTCGTTGGTGTCAGAGCCTTGGTCAAACAGAAAAATATTCAGAGAAAATTTGTTTTGTAAGGTGTTGCACAATGTCTTGGGATTAGAAATTGACATTTTCAGGAGTTTAATATTATTTTGAGACTGCTATACTTCATTTGAATTTTAATTAATTAGTACTATCCCAAATGATACCCTAGCCTCCCAGCAAAGTGGGCTGTACTAGTTTGGGAAGAATCTACAATTATCAGAGACTCTAATGACCCACCTCCAATAAGAACTGCACCATCACTCATGGAGGCATCCATATGTAGTCTTTTGACCCTTTCAATAGTTTATATTTGTGTAAAGTTAGTTTCAATGATATAAGTCATGCCTAGAAGTTATTGAAGTCTATACATAATGCATGACCACATTAAAAGCAGTCTCATTTCCTTTCAATAATTTGCACATGTGTGGGTATGTGTTTATATGTGTGTAGACATCCCTGCTCAGATAAGCTCAAGTGAGGCAGATTGTACTTACTCTACACCCCTGTGGGCCTCTTGGGGGCAAGTATGGAGATATCTCTGATCCAGACCACAGTGTTGGAGATCTTAGTGTCCCATGCATGTGGGTTTTATTTTGTGCCCACTTCTGACCTTTCCTGTGGCTGGTTATGGAGAGCAAAACCCTGATGAGATGGAAACTTCATTCAGTTTCCACAGACGGGAAGCATTTCCTTGCCTAGCATGGAACCTGCTTTCCAGTATATAATCTGCTTAATTAGAACGTGTGGAATTTGTTGCCATTTAGTTAAGTACAACACTATCTGCCATTACGTGTGTTTGTTTGGCTGGAAATAAATATTGACTTAGAATGCTTTAATATGGTTTATACAATGCTTAGAACAGAGCTTTGATTTAAAGTAAATTTGGATGCTAGGAGAATATTATTGGAAATTATGTTTAAACGAGCAATTCCCGAGTCAGACAGCAAAAGTAGTGTGCGTGATCTAATTACAGTTGTTTGGGTAGGCTTTATAACGTTTGTATGACAGCTTCTTGTTGAAACTGAAGTAATGCTCTAGGAATATTCCCTTAATATTCGCTCAAGGTGTTCACTGACCCTGCAGTTCATTTTTTATTAGTTTCTTGACACCTGCTCAGGATATTGCTTTTTCTTGCTTTGAAAACAACTTCTGTGAATTCATATTTGAGTAGGAAAAAATTGGTAGTTCATAATTTTTGAAGGTTTATTTATTTGTTTGTTTATTTATTTATTATGTGTACAGCATTCTGTGTCAATGTGTGCCTGCACATAGGAAGAGGGCACCAGATCTCATGATAGATGGCTGTGAGCCACCATGTGGTTGCTGGGACTTGAACTCAGGACCTCTGGAAGAACAGTCAGTGCTCTTAACCCCTGTGCCATCTCTCCTCCCCTGTTAGGTCATAATTTAAAAATTAGAAAATAAAAAGTTGTAGAACTTTTAAAGTTTTGCTTAAACCTTTTATAATATTACACATACATTTTTACCAGTATTAACTTTGGATATCTAGTGTAAGTGGTACAGAAGTGTTACTTTGGCGTGTGTGAATTAGTCACTGGAAAGCATACACATGGGTGCACACACACATTCTCTCTCTCTTAGCTTCTTTGTGTACCCAAAGGACTAATACTTTTGTTGTTGATTGATTTGGAATATCTTTATGACATATCTTTATTAATTACATTGAGAATTCAAATGTCCTTAAGAAAAAGGGTTTATATTCATAGATGCTGCTAAGGAAACTGACATTTGTGTATTGGGGTGAAAACTTAATCACATAGTATTGGAGTAATAGTGATTCAGTTTTGTTAGGAATGGATACTTCACCTGTATCCAAAACATGCATTGTCTTCCAGATATACATAGTATCTTGTACCAAGGTTAATGACTTTCCCAGGGCGCCTGTGGTCAGTACTGCACTTACAGCACTCCAAGGCGCAGGCTTGTTTTCTTCAGACTTAGTAGCAGACTGTATTTGATTCTTGATGGATATTCTGTGGTTGAGGAAAAATATTTTTTGAAATAATTTTGAAAATAAGTAATCAATAAAAGAATTCTGTGCCAAAATCTTACTGTCTTTACTGTTTACAGGATAACAAAATGCCCTGTTTTCACAGTTAAAAACTTTACCAAGCTGTCTTTTCTCAATTGCTAAGGGGGTTTTGTGGACATGAAGCCCACGTCTTTAGATATGAGGTACAAAACCTGCTTCAAGTTCATGTAACTGCTACATCCATTGCATGCTGTAGCTCAGGCTTTCTCACGCACATTGCATGTACTCAGTATCTGGAGAAAAAAACAATCTTATGGTTAATATTTTACATATTGCCTTTGCTTTCCATATGTCACTATTGTATCGTTGTACATGTTTGCCATATCCACCTATTTTTACACATGCATCCTGTTTTCTCTGCATTGTAATAAATTACAATATTATTTCTAGCTATAGAAATCTATTGGTGTCTGGTTTTCAGAAGCAAGGGTAACCAACTTTAATTCTGCTTATTTTAACAATATCTCTTGACAGTAATTGCCCACATTTAAAATTCATATTTTCTTTTATCTATTCATTGTGTAATTTATTTTTGACAGTTTCTTTCATGTCTCTTTTCTTCCTTTGTATAGGAAGGATAATAAAAACTGTGATTGGTAAAACAAAACAAAAACTGAACATGTTGGTCAATGGCAGCATGCTGTTTTCTTTGTAATCTGTACTCTTTTAAATAGATACTTCCCAGGGATGTTTCTAGAGTGGTGGGCAACTCTTTTCTATTTATTCAGAATAACTAGGGTTGGCTTTTGGGTGTTGGGGGTAGGAGCTGGAAAGAGAAAACTGGCCTGGCCTGCTTATGCTGGTTGGTGTTATGCTTCCTCAGTCCTGCTAAGTTCAAAGAGAATATGAGTTTCTCTGTAATTCAGTGTTCGCCTGCCAGCCACAAGAAAAATAAACCCATTTGAACTGTCTTCAGAGAATGAAATTTAATGCAGATTTTGAAGTGTACACTTGGAATGTTGTCCCACAGAGAGGTGTGCTGGACAAAGCAGGTCTGAATACAGAAATCTATAATTTAAAAATTCTGGCCCTGCCATTTCTTAGCAGTGTGGTGTTAGCTGGCAGCTCCCTGGCTTTGATTCTTGATATTGAACATCATTGCCTTTATTGATCACTTGTGATTTTGCTGAGCATGAAATGAAGTTCTGCATGAGAACTAGTTTTGAGTCCATTTGAAGTGGTAAATAAAGAATTATTTTTGCTAGTATGTGTCACATAGAGTTGAGCTCCTCAAACTTTTACAACTGATGCATATAGGCAGAGAGATGTTTGCATGGCTTGCTAGCTAGATTTTTATTAACTTGACACAAGCTAGAGTCATTTAGGAAGGAGGAGCCATAATTGAGAAAATTCCCCCACCAGATTGACCCGTAGAGTACTTTCTTGATTGATGATTGATGTAGGTGGGTTCATCCCACAGAGGGTGTTGTATCACCCCTGTGTAGATGGTATAAAATAGGTTGGGCAAACCATGAAGAGCAATCCAGTAAGCAGCATTCCTCCATGGCCTCTGCTTCAGTTCCTGCCTCCAGGGGCCTGCCTTGAGGACCTGCCCTGACTTCTCACTATGATGAACTATAACTGTAAGGTGAAATAAACCCTCTCCTCCCCAAGCTGTTTCTGCTTGGTATTTCATCACAGCAATAGATATCCTAAGACATAATGGTGCGCTGAGGTAAGTGGGCAGACTGTGGCTTAGAGCAATTGACCCGGGGGCATTAGCCACACTGCCCAGCAGCTGACCTGTGGACTGAGGTGAGGCAGTAGCTTGATATACCTGTTGCCTTCTGGGAGACATTGGTCAGAAAGCACTGAGTTAGGAAGGAAGAAAGAAAAACCTCCATATTCATTTAGAGCAAGCCACAGACTTATTGTGTATATTAATGAGTTTTATTGTGGTTTATGCCCACTCTACTTTGTATTCTCCTATACTACCCTAGACCTTTACCTTCCTCTACTTGATCTTGAATACCACATTTCCTCCATAATAATTCCTCTTCTATTTTCAGGTCTTTTTTTCTTTCTGTGCTTGGCTTAACACACTGTCCAGCACTTTCACTTATTTTCCTGCAAATGAACATATGGACTTTTATATATAAAACTAATTTGGATAAACTTTTTGGTTAGTTTTTGCTACTGCTCATTCATTTATTTTCCCTGGGTTTTCATGGTGCCTCTAAATACAAAGTCATAAGGGCACTGGGTCTGTTTAGTTCAGTTAATGAGAGAATGAATAGTTCTGAGTATCTCAAAATTCTGTGATTTAAGCTTGATGCATCATTAAACTGTAGAAAAAGTATAATTCACAGTTAAATTTATTTTACTCCCTTGTGATAAAATGGGATTATGGTTTACCTCAATGCCTCAGGATAAATTGCACTAGATGAACCTATCAGATGATGGTTTGCTTTTCTCAGAAAGATTAGAGATATTCTTCTTGAGTGTCCGGCAGCTGTACTTCTATCACTAAAGTCTGGAGGTAGAAGATTCTCCAGGGACCACCTGTCTAGGGTTTGGATAAGAAGGGAAGAAAGATAAAGGGAAAGGGCATTTATTGGTTGAGTCTGTACCCCACCATCATTTTTATTAGGGAAACAGTAATTTATGAAAGCTTTATCCAGAGACAAGAAAGTAAGTTCTGTTAGAAGAAGGAATATGGGAATGGGCAGTAGGTAGAACCTTGTATTTGCCACAGTTGTCACTGTAGCCATGCTTGGCAGGAACTTCTATACAAGATAATGTACTTTAAAGTT